TCCTTCTCTCTCCGCCTCAATTATCTCCTCCTTCCCTCAATAGATTCCTTAGCATGACTTCAAATGGGTGTGGGATTCGCTTTCAAACTCATAAATTACCGGGCAAAACATCTATACATTACCAATATATACATGGGTTTACATAATGCTTTCCTACCTTCATACACAATCGGTCCTGAGTGTGGCCCTGGGGTTACTAACGGTGGCTGTTCAGTTACGGCTGAAACGGTAAAACGTCTTCTAATAGAAAGGACAAACATATCTCATACTAGCACTTTTGATACTTATTGGATCAAATAGAAAAGAATCAAGAAATTCCAATATGACTATGAATTTTACAAATCTATTCACACTCACACAACCATAAATCCGTATACACGATATATGCATGTCCGGGTAAAGAAAATAAGTGTATTTAAAGAATTACAACTCATTACTAACAAGGAAAGGTTAGGAATGCCATAATCAATATATTCATATTCCTGTATTCCTCCAAGGCAGATTTTCATAACACTTTTCTGTCATAGTTCAGGTGAAGCTCAGATTGGGAAATATACTAAACTGACTAAAAATAAATAATGATAAAAATGTATTCATATCAAATAGACACTTTTATAGTAGTCACTGGCTGTTCAGCTAAAAAGTATAAAAAATATACACTTTAAATACTAATTTGCCTGTGGCTCCACTGCTCATGAGATTTTCCAAAATGATAAAAATCATTACAACTTTGTTCACAACTATCACCGTATACAAACACAACATAACCACAAATATAAATTTTACATTTATATAGATATCTAATTCAGCATGTAAAAACAATAGTGGAATGTGAATTTATAATATTCACTGGCAAGTGCAATTATGTCCCTGTGTGTCGATGTGTCAATGACAGTGCCTGGTCAAAACCATCAATGTCAACATGATTACACATAAAGAGGTTCACCTGGGGATTCCCTACAAATTACTGGAGGTGGCTGTTCATGACATAAAGATATTAGGAAATGACAATCACCTTCACTTTCAAGTTACATATACACATACACTCGTGTATACATATATACACATATATACATACTTATCTAGTTACATACCGATTCAAAAATAATGCATGCATGAATGAATGAATATATGCATATGTATGTTTATATCCATATCAAATCTATATGAACACACACAATTACATATACATACATATAAATATATACATATACATACATATGAAAAATAATAGATATTTCACTCACAAGGCATGGTCGGGCAGGCTATAACTGACACTGCATTCAGATTCTCGTCTACCGCTGAAGCGCACCATCTACCGCTCACTGTCTCCCTGTTTATCACTCCTCCTTCTCCCTCCATTTCGATTGTCTCCTCCATCCCTTCTTCACCAACGCATCCACTCACGATTTCTCCATTGTGTCGGAAGGGAACACATGCTGTGGCGTTCACTGGTGGCTGTTCACTTGGAGCTGAGGGTAAGGTATACAGTTCATTATCTAAACACAAAAGGACAAATGCTTAAATTCGGGTTCATATCTAACTCTTTTAAGTTTATAGCTTATAGGAAAACGATTGTCTAATACTGGCATTTTTTATCAAATGCTATGGAATGTTTATCATAAAGTTTTATCAGAAAATGTTCAAAGTATTATGAAATGACATTGACAACAAATATATATACACACATGAATATATATATACGCATACAGTACTGGGATGTGAATTTATAGTATTCACAGGTAAGTGCATTTATGTCTGTATGTGTCGAGGAGTGTCACTGACAGTACATGGTCAAAACCACCAATGTCAACATGATCACACATAAGAGGTTCACATTCTTACCTGGGGATTCGCTGGAGGTTACTGAAGGTGGCAGTTCAATTACAGCTGAAAGGGAAAATATGATTTTTAAAAGGATAAGTATCTATGAACAATCAAGATATTCGGAAATGACAAAGACCTTCATTTTCTTCTCGCATACCAATGCACACACTCAAATAAATATACATACATACGAGTATATATGCATATATATGTATATAGTGTATATATGTATACATTTCTCTTATCCCTTAATTCACTCATTATAGAAAATAAATAAATGCGTAAATAGATGTTTATATGTATGTATGTATATGTATAGACACACATATTTATATATATATGAAATTTAACGTACGAGGCATGGTCGGGCAGGCTATAACTGACACTGCATTCAGATTCTCGTCTACCGCTGAGGCGCACCATCTGCCACTCACTGTCTCCCTGTTTATCACTCCTCCTTCTCCCTCCATTTCGATTGTCTCCTCCACCCCTTCTTCACCAACGCATCCGCTCACAATTTCACCATCGTGTCGGAAGGGAACACATTCAGTGGCGTTTACTGGTGGCTGTTCACTTGGAGCTGGGGTAAGGTACATAGTTTATCATCTAAACACAAAAAGTCGAATGCTAAAATTCGGGTACATATCTAAGCTTATAGCTTAGTGGAAAATGATTGTCTAATACTAGCATTTTTTCTTAAAGCCTATAGAATCATTAAGTTTTATCAGAAAATGTTCAAAGTATTATGAAATGACATTAAGAACAAATATATATAAGTATGTATATATATATATATACATATATGTACATACAGATATCTAAATCAGCATACAGGACTGGGATATGAATTTATAGTATTCCCTGGTAACGGCATTTCTGTCCGTGTGTCTCGATAAGTGTCACTGACAGTGCATGGTCAAAACCACAAATGTCAACATGATCACACATAAGAGGTTCACATTCTCACCTGGGGATTCGCTGGAACTTATTGAAGGTAACACTCCTTTAAGTTTATAGCTTATCGGAAAACAATTATGCTTAATAATAGCATTTTCTCTCAAATCCTATAGAATCCTTATCATTCAGTTTTGTCAGAAAATTTTCAAAGTATTATGAAATGACGTTGAGAACAAATATATATATATATACACATGAATATAATAAATATACACATATACGAGTATATAAATATATATTATATATATATATATATATATATATATATATATATATATATATATATATATATATATATATATGCACAAACACAAACACGTAGTTTACATTTTCATCATTCGAGACTATATCACTCCAATGTTCAAAATAAACTATTTGTTTACTAAATCAAAATTCACGAACTTATTGTTGGCAGTCTTCTCTGTTTACACATGTTTGTGTATACATAAAACTATTGACACAAATGCATACTGTTTGCATTCATGTGAATATGCGCCTATGAGAACTGGGTTAAAAAAGGTTCACTGCCTCACCTGTGGCCGTAGTGGCAGCGCCCACTGGTGGTTCTTCGGGTGGAGCTGGGAAGGAAACATCCACTTTCGACAGATATGAAAATAATAAAAACAAGAGCTGCCCAAGATGAACAATCACCTTGAAAATTATATTCTACGATAATTTATGGATTTTTTGCTATGAGAATAAAACTTATACTCTAACATACATAATAACAATGTATATAAAGGCACATCTACACTAGCATACATATAGCTATATATATTGTATTATATTTTTTCTTTTCTTTCTCTCCCTTCTGTCACAGCTGAGGGGAAGATCAATATTTCCTGATAAACAAATATGACAACTATTATCTCTAAACCTACTACTCTAGGAAGTAGGATCATGTTACAGAAATTGCACAATCAACAATTTAAATAACAATTATACATTAACTTATAAAGACAAATATAAAGCAATCAACTTTGCATTTTGTCAATTTTCCGTCACTTACGAGCCATTTCCGGACACATTATAATCTTCCTGGCATTCAAATTCTCGTCCACTTCGGAGACGCACCATCTGTGGCTCTGGGTCAACTTAAACTTCGCTCCTCCCTCTCCCACCAACTCAAATGTCTCCACCTTCCCTTCCTCGCCAAGGCATCCGCTCACGATTTCCTCTCCGTAGCGGAAGGGAACGCACCCACTACTTTCTGAAGGTGGCTCTTCCGTTTCAGCTGGGCTGGGAAAAGGATTTCATTTTATATTACATAGCGAAAAAAATAAATGTGTATTTGTATTCAATATATTCCTTTTTACATCAAAATGACATGGGAATCATCTTCAAATTCAGAGATGTCGCGGCCGAAAGATCTACAGACTACTGTAAAGTATACACGGGTTTACGTAATGCTTTCCTACCTTCATACTCATATGTACTAGTGGTCTCTAGCGGTGATTCTGTTACATCTGAAAGGGCAAAACGCATTCTAATAAAAAAGGACAAACATATCTGAAACTGGCATTTTTCATACCTTTAAATCAAACAGAAAAATATCGAGAAGGTCGGATATGATCATGAACACAAGCGGTATCATCAAAGTTTTGAAAAAAAAAAAATAATAAATAAATAAATAAATATATAAATAAAATAAAATAAAGAGCACTGTATGTTTCTTAATTCAAAATGCTATTAGAAAGGCACATACACTTCTCTTATTTAACATTATATGAAACCCACACATATATAGATATTATTTCCTTGTTCCCCTTTTTTCCCTCTACCTCCTGCCACAACTAAGGGAGAAAAGACAAACATTTGTTGATATAACATAAAACATACACTCATTTATAAAATTACGTAATCAACAACACCTACCGATTCATAAATAATGCATGCATGAATGAATGAATGTATGCATATGTATGTTTATATCTATATCAAATATATATGAACACACAATTACATATACATATAAACATATACATACATATGAAAAATAATAATATTTCACTTACGAGGCATGGTCGGGCAGGCTATAACTGACACTGCATTCAGATTCTCGTCTACCGCTGAGGCGCACCATCTACCGCTCACTGTCTCCCTGTTTATCACTCCTCCTTCTCCCTCCATTTCGATTGTCTCCTCCACCCCTTCTTTGCCAACACATCCACTCACGATTTCTCCATCGTGTCGGAAGGGAACACATGCTGTGGCGTTCACTGGTGGCTGTTCACTTGGAGCTGAGGGTAAGGTATACAGTTCATTATCTAAACACAAAAGGACAAATGCTTAAATTCGGGTTCATATCTAACTCTTTTAAGCTTATAGCTTATAGGAAACGATTGTCTAATACTGGCATTTTCTATCATAAAGTTTTATCAGAAAATGTTCAAAGTATTATGAAATGACATTGACACAAATATATATACACACATGAATATATATATCAGCATACAGTACTGGGATGTGAATTTATAGTATTCACAGGTAAGTGCATTTATGTCACTGATAGTACATGGTCAAAACCTCCAATGTCAACATCATTACACATAAGAGGTTTACATTCTCACCTGGGGATTCGCTGGAAGTTACTGAAGGTGGCAGTTCAATTACAGCTGAAAGGGAAAATATGATTTTTAAAAAGGATAAGTATCTATGAAGTATCAAGATATTCGGAAATGACAAAGACCTTCATTTTCCTCTCACGAAAAATGCACACATTCAAATAAATAGACATACATTCAAGTATATATGCATATATATGTATATACTATATATATATACACATTTCTCTTATTCCTTTATTCATTTACTTATAGAAAATAAACGAGTACATAAATAGATGTTTATATGTATATGTATAGGCCCATATACACATATATATATATATATATATATATATATATATATATATATATATATATATATATATATATATATATATATATTAAACACAAAAGGACAAATGCTTAAATTCGGGTTCATATCTAACTCTTTTAAGTTTATAGCTTATAGGAAAACGATTGTCTAATACTGGCATTTTTTATCAAATGCTATGGAATGTTTATCATAAAGTTTTATCAGAAAATGTTCAAAGTATTATGAAATGACATTGACAACAAATATATATACACACATGAATATATATATGTATCAGCATACAGTACTGGGATGTGAATTTATAGTATTCACAGGTAAGTGCATTTATGTCTGTATGTGTCGAGGAGTGTCACTGACAGTACATGGTCAAAACCACCAATGTCAACATGATCACACATAAGAGGTTCACATTCTCACCTGGGGATTCGCTGGAGGTTACTGAAGGTGGCAGTTCAATTACAGCTGAAAGGGAAAATATGATTTTTAAAAGGATAAGTATCTATGAAAAATCAAGATATTCGGAAATGACAAAGACCTTCATTTTCTTCTCGCATACCAATGCACACACTCAAATAAATATACATACATATGAGTATATATGCATATATATGTACATAATGTATATATGTATACATTTCTCTTATCCCTTAATTCACTCATTATAGAAAATAAATAAATGCATAAATAGATGTTTATATGTATGTATGTATATGTATAGACACACATATTTATATATATATGAAATTTAACGTACGAGGCATGGTCGGGCAGGCTATAACTGACACTGCATTCAGATTCTCGTCTACCGCTGAGGCGCACCATCTGCCACTCACTGTCTCCCTGTTTATCACTCCTCCTTCTCCCTCCATTTCGATTGTCTCCTCCACCCCTTCTTCACCAACGCATCCGCTCACAATTTCACCATCGTGTCGGAAGGGAACACATTCAGTGGCGTTTACTGGTGGCTGTTCACTTGGAGCTGGGGTAAGGTACATAGTTTATCATCTAAACACAAAAAGTCGAATGCTAAAATTCGGGTACATATCTAAGCTTATAGCTTAGTGGAAAATGATTGTCTAATACTAGCATTTTTTCTTAAAGCCTATAGAATCATTAAGTTTTATCAGAAAATGTTCAAAGCATTATGAAATGACATTAAGAACAAATATAAATAAGTATATATATATATATATATATATATATATATATATATATATATATATATATATATATATATATATATATATATATATGTATATATATATATATATATATATATATATATATATATATATATATATATATATATATATGTACATACAGATATCTAAATCAGCATACAGGACTGGGATATGAATTTATAGTATTCCCTGGTAACGGCATTTCTGTCCGTGTGTCTCGATAAGTGTCACTGACAGTGCATGGTCAAAACCACAAATGTCAACATGATCACACATAAGAGGTTCACATTCTCACCTGGGGATTCGCTGGAACTTATTAAAGGTAACACTCCTTTAAGTTTATAGCTTATCGGAAAACGATTATGCTTAATAGCATTTTCTCTCAAATCCTATAGAATCCTTATGATTCAGTTTTATCAGAAAATTTTCAAAGTATTATGAAATGACATTGAGAACAAATATATATATATACACATGAATATAATAAATATACACATATACGAGTATATATATATGCACATCACAAACACGCAGTTTCCATTATCATCATTCATGACTATATCACTCCCATGTTCAAAATAAACTATTCGTTTACTAAATCAAAATTCACGAACTTATTGTTGGCAGTCTTCTCTGTTTACACATGTTTGTGTATACATAAAGATATTGACACAAATGCATACAATTTGCATTCATGTGAATATGCGCCTATGAGAACTGGGTTAAAAAAAGGCTCACTGCCTCACCTGTGGCCGTAGTGGCAGCACCCACTGGTGGTTCTTCGGGTGGAGCTGGGGAGGAAACATCCACTTTCGACAGATATCAAAATGATAAAAATAACATGAGCTGCCCAAGATGAACAGTTACCTTGAAAATTATATTCTACGATAATTTTTGGATTTTTTGCTATGAGAATAAACCTTATACTCTAACATACATAATAACAATGTATATAAAGGCACATCTACAATAGCATACATATATATGCATATCTATATATATTGTATATATATTTTTTCTTTTCTTTCTCTCCCCTTCTGTCACAGCTGAGGGGAAGATTAATATTTCCTGATAAACAAACATGGCAATCATTTTCTCTAACCCCACCACTTTAGGAAGTAGGATCATGTTACAGGAATTGTACAATCAACAATTTAAATAACAATTATACATTAACTTATAAAGACAAATATAAAGCAATGAACTTTGCATTTTGTCAATTTTCTGTCACTTACGAGCCATTTCCGGACACCTTATAATCTTCATGGCATTCAAATTCTCGTCCACTTTGGAGACGCACCATCTGTAGCTCAGGGTCAACTTAAACTTCACTCCTCCCTCTCCCGCCAACTCAAATGTCTCCACTTTCCCTTCCTCGCCGATGCATCCGCTCACAATTTCCTTTCCGTATCGGAAGGGAACACACTGCTCCACTGCAAGTCCAAAGGGGCGATGAGAAAGGAAAACGACTGAAATACACACACGCACTTGCACAAACACACACACACACACACACACAAAAAAAACATGCATACATACTTATGTAAACATATACGTACTTATATATATGTACATATTTATATATACATATCTAAATATGTACATAAATATGTATATGTACATTAATATGCATATGTATATATACGTAAATATATAGGTATATCTGTATACACATACATAAATATGTGTATATATATGTATGTGTGCATGGATGTCAGCAAGGGTATAGGTATAGCTATGGGTATGGGTATGCGTATGCATGTGTAAGTGTGTGTCAAAGAGAAAATATGCATAACTTGGATTCTAATTCACTTACTTGGGCACTGTATAACTGATACGATATCCATATTCTTGTCTACTTCTGCGGCACACCATTTGCCTTTCACTGTCCAGCTGTCTGTCACTCCTCCTTCTCTCTCCACCTCAATTACCTCCCACTTCCCTTCCTCGCCGATGCATTCGCTCACGATTTCCCCTCCGTATCGGAAAGGAACACACAGTCCGGTCACAGCCTCACCGGTGGGTGTAGTGGCGGCGCCCATGGGTGGCACTTTAGGGGAGGAAACATCAGCTTTTGACAGATATCAAAATAACAATAAGATCAACAACCTAGCTAGAGTTGTTAACTTCAAACTATATCATACAATCATTTATGGATTTTTCTATGAAAATAAAATGGAAACTCTGACATTCATAATAAAGATGTACATGTAAGCACACGTACAGTGGCATACATACACATACACACATGCATATGGTATACATATATATTTATGTGTGTGTGTGTGCAGCTGAGGGGGAGATGAATATATTCTTATATAACATGCATGACAATTGTTTTCTCTGACCCTGCCATTTTGGGAAGTTGGGTCATGTTCCAGAAATCACATAACTTTAATAACAATTATACCAAAGATAATAAGTCAAATGTCCGTCACTTACGAGAAATAATCGGACAGGATATAATCTTCTTGATATTCAGATTCTTGTCCACCTCGGAGGCGCACCATCTGCCGATCGCTGTCCAACTGTACATCTCTCCTCCTTCTCCCTCCGTCTCAATGATCTCTTCCTTCCCTTCCTCGCCTACGCAGCCTCTTACGATTTCATCTCTGTATCGGGGAACGCACACGTTGCCTGCAAATCCAAGATGGGTGATGAGAAAGCACACACATACATACATACATACATACATATATATATATATATATATATATATATTATATATATATATATATACTTATATATATATATATATATATTATATATATATATATATATATATATATATATATATATATATATATATATAAGTAAATATATATGCATATTTAAACGTAAGCATACATATGTATTTATATAACTATATATATATACATATATAAATGTGTGTGTATATTTTTAGATATATATGTATGTATATTTATGTATCCATATATATGTATATGTATTTAATCGTATATATATATACATATATATGTATAAGCATATGTACATGCATATGTATCTATTTCCCTATCTGTATTTGTCTATATGTAAAAATGTGTGCATATATGTATATATATATATATATATATATATATATATATATATATATATATATATATATATATATATATATTGACATGAACATACATATACATGTGTATATATAGTTGTGTTTGTGTGTTCAAGTATGTGTACACCATATGGAAAAAAATGTGCATAACTTGGATTCTAATTCACTTACCAGGGACGGTTGTGCAGACTTTAACTGATACGATATTCAGATTCTTGTCTACTTCTGTGGCGCACCATTTGCCCTTCACTACTGTCCCTCTCATCTCTCCTCCTTCTCCCACTACCTCAATTATGGCCCACTTCCCTTCCTCGCCGACGCATCCGCTCACGATTTCCTCTCCGTAGCGGAAGGGAACGCACCCACTACTTTCTGAAGGTGGCTCTTCCGTTTCAGCTGCGGGTGGGAAAAGGATTTCATTTTATATTGCATAGCGAAAAAAATTAATGTGGTTTTGTATTCAATTAATTTTTTTTTTTCATCAAAATGACATGGGAATTATCTTCAAATTCAGAGATGTCGCAGGCGAAAGATCTAGAGACTACTATAATGTATACAAGGGTTTACGTAATGCTTTCCTACCTTCATACTCAAATGTGCTAGTGGTCTCTAGCGGTGGTTCTGTTACGGCTGAAAGGGTAAAATGCATTCTAATAAAAAAGGACAAACATATCTGAAACTGGCATTTTTCATCCCTTAAATCAAACAGAAAAACATCGAGAAGGTCGGATATGATCATGAACACGAGCGGTATCATCAAAGTTTTGGAAAAATAATAACAAATAAATAATAAGATAAAATAACGAAGAGCACTGTATGTTTCTTAATTCAAAATGCTATTATAAAGGTACATACACTTCTCTTATTTAACATTATATGAAACCCACACATATATAAATATAATTTCCTTGTTTCCCTTTTTTCCCCTCTACCTCCTGCCACAAATGAGGGAGAAAAGATGAATATTTGTTGATATAACATAAAACATACACTCATTTATAAAATTACATAATCAACACCTTTAATAACTATTATACTTTCACTTATAAAAATATATACAAAGCAATAATCTACACATTTAGCCAAATCTCCGTCACTTACAAGAAATTTCCGGACAGCTCATAGCCCTCAAGACATTCATATCCTCGTCCACCTCTGCGGCGCACCACTGGCCGCCCACGCAGCCCCTCATGAGCATCCCTTTGAGGCTGAAGGGAACGCACACGTCGCCTGCGAGTCCGGGGGGCAAAGAGGACGGAAAGCCAGAAATGTACATACTCGTGTACACGCACACACATGGATATATGTATAAATAAATAAAGATACATAAACAATGCAAATACATAAACATATATACATATAATATAATATATATAAATATAAACATATATATGTTTATATGCATATTTGTGTACGTATGTCTGCGTGTGTATGTGTTACTATGTGTGTTTATGTGTATGTTTAAATGTATGTTTGTGTGTGTGCATGTGCGTGCATGCATGTGCGAGCGTGCATGTGCGTGTGTGTATGACTTGCATTCCAATTAACTTACACAGTATAATGGTTACGGGATTCAGATTCTCGTCTACTTCTGAGGCGCACCATCTGCCTTTCACTGTCCACCAGGTTATCTCTCCTCCTTCTCCCTCCGTCTTAATTATCTCCTCCTTCCCTTCCTCGCCCACGCATCCGTTCACGATTTTGTCTCCGTATCGGAAGGGAATGCACAAGCTTTCTGGAGGTGGCGGTTCCGTTTCAGCTGAGGGTAGGAAAAGGATTGCATCTTTTAACAGATAACGAAAAACGAGAAACAAAAGTGTGGTTTTAGATTCAACTAGAAGCACTGAGAGAGCGCATACCTCCGTCAAAACTATAAGGTTTATGATGCAATAAAAATATTCACACATAAAGGATTACAATAAAATCACATCTTTCTCAAGTACACTGCTGTCGGCCATAAGCATAACCTATTTGGCGGAGGTAATAAAGGTAATGAAAACAATAATACTTGGCAATTGGGGTAACTGATGAAAATAATTTTTTAAAATCCTGGAACCGGATCATGGTCAAGACATCTAAGTTGCTCTGGGCGAATGAACTAGAGATTACGGACACGTACATGGGCTTACGTAATGCTTTCCTACCTTCATACTCAGGCTTTTTCGGTACTGAGCGAGACTCAAATGGATTAATGGTAGTGGTCTCTGGCGGCGGCTCTTCAGTTACGTCTGAAAGGGAAAATGCTTTTTAACAGAAAGGATAAATATATCTGAAACTGGCAATTTTGATAATAGTAAATCAAATAGAAAAGTACAGATAAGGTCAGATATGACAAACTTTACAAACATTTCTACACACACAAATACTTGTTTTATGTAATATGTAAGTATATACACCTGGAAGAAAACAAGTATATTGACTGTATTGCAAATCACTTACAATGCAAGGTTGGGCAGGATATAATCGCAACGATACTCATATTCCCGTCTACCTTCGAAGCGCACCATCTGCCGTTCACTGTCCAGCTATATATCATTCTCCTTCTCCCTCTACCTTGATTGTCTCCTCCTTCCCTTCCTCACCAGGCATCCTCGCACGATTTCCCCTCCGTATCGGAAGGGAACGCAGCCGTGGACACCTGGAAATCGCCAAGTAGATAAAGGAATCGTGACAAAATGAATAAAAAAACTTCATAACTACATTTGGTACTTTTAGTATCCTGGAAGACTCATCAAGCTTGAAGAAAATTATGAAAATTCTCGCGCTTAGGTCATAAGTTAAGAAAAATAAGATTTTTGGATTGACAATGACTTTCACAACTTCATTCAGAATTATACACACTTTGCTTAATACATATGTATTACATATTCTAATATGACATATATATAATATAATATATATATATATTATATATATATATATATATATATATATATATATATATATATATATATGTACATATGCATATACATACATATTCACACACATGTATATATATATACTCATATACATTTATTTTTATATATAAGAACTGTCCTCTCTGAATTATAATTAACTCACATGATACGACTGGCACCCTATAATTGAGAGCACAGTCATATTCCTGTCTACTTCTGAGGCGCACCATCTGCCTTTCACTTGCCAGCTGATTAATACTCCTTCTCTCTTCGTCTCAATTATCTCCTCCTTCCCTTCCTCGCCGACACATCCGCTTACGATTTCCTCTCCGTACCGGAAGGGAACGCATCCCGGGATATCTTAATCAAAATCGGAAATTGGGAACAATGATTACAAAATAGACCGTAAAAGTTAGTAAAAAAAGAAAGTTAAAGGCAATCATTTTAGTTTATCCGTGCACGATATCGGCATTCTTATTTCATTCTTTTTGTTAAAATAAATAAACTGAAACATATGAAAAAGTGGGTTCGCATCTAATGATTTTTAAATATCAAATAAGTAAGACAATCACCTTCAAAATCATTTGCCACAGAGGCAGAATCATCAAATATACATATATAAACATACATACATATATATATATATATATTATATATATATATATATATATATATATATATATATATATATATATATATGGAGATATATAAATCAGCATACAGTACTGGATATGAATTTATAGTATTCACTGGTAAGTGCATTTCTGTCCGTATGTGTCAATAAGTGTCACTGACAGTACATGGTCAAAACCACAAATGTCAACATGATTACACTTAAGAGGTTCACATTCTCACCTGGGGTTCGCTGGAAGTTACTGAAGGTGTCTTTTCAATTACAGCTGAAAGGGAAAATATAATTTTAAATGGATAAGTATCTATGAACAATCAAGATATTCAGAAATGACAAAGACCTTCATTTTTTCTCACGTACCAATGCACACACTCAAATAAATATACATACATAAGAGTATATATGCATATATATGTATATACTGTATATATTTATACATTTCTCTTATCCCTTAATTCATTTACTTATAGAAAATAAATAAATGCATAAATACATATTTATATGTATGTATGTTTATGTATAGACACATGCATATTATATATATATATATATGAAATTTAACTTACGAGGCACGGTCGGGCAGGCTATAACTGACACAGCATTCAGATTCTCGTCTACCTCTGAGGCGCACCATCTGCCGCTCACTGTCTCCCTGTTTATCACTCCTCCTTCTCCCTCCATTTCGATTGTCTCCTCCACCCCTTCTTCGCCAACGCATCCACTCACGATTTCACCATCGTATCGGAAGGGAACACATTCAGTGGCGTTTACTAGTGGCTGTTCACTTGGAGCTGGGGTAAGGTATATAGTTTATCATCTAAACACAAAAAGACGAATGCTAAAATTGGGTACATATCTAAGCTTATAGCTTAGTGGAAAATGATTGTCTAATACTAGCATTTTTTCTTAAATCCTATAGAATCATTATCATTAAGTTTTATCAGAAAATGTTCAAAGTATTATGAAATGACATTGAGAGCAAATACATATATATAATATATATTATATATATATATATATAATATATATATATATATATATATAATATATATATATATATAATATAATTATGTACATGCAGATATCTAAATCAGCATACAGTACTGGGATATGAATTTATAGTATTCCCTGGTAACGGCATTTCTGTCCGTGTGTCTCGATAAGTGTCACTGACAGTGCATGGTCAAAACCACAAATGTCAACATGATCACACATGAGGTTCACATTCTCACTTGGGGATTCACTGGAACTTATTGAAGGTAACACTCCTTTAAGTTTATAGCTTATCGGAAAACGATTATGCTTAATAATAGCATTTTCTCTCAAATCCTATAGAATCCTCATCATTCAGTTTTATCAGAAAATTTTCAAAGTATTATGAAATGACATTGAGAACAAATATATATATATACACATGAAATATAATAAATATACACATATACGAGTATATATATATATATGTACAAACACAAACACGGTTTACATTATCATCATTCGTGACTATATCACTCCCATGTTCAAAATAAACTATTCGTTTACTAAATCAAAATTCACGAACTTATTGTTGGCAGTCTTCTCTGTTTACACATGTTTATGTATACATAAAACTATTGACTCAAATACATACTGTTTGCATTCATGTGAATATGCGCCTATGAGAACTGGTTAAAAAAAGGTTCACTGCCTCACCTGTGCGTAGTGGCAGCGCCCACTGGTGTTCTTCGGGCGGAGCTGGGGAGGGAACATCCACTTTCGACAGATATCAAATAATAAAAACAAGAGCTGCCCAAGATGAACAATTTACCTTGAAAATTATATATACGATAATTTTTGGATTTTTTGCTATGAGAATAAAACTTATACTCTAGCATACATAATAATAATGTATATAAAGGCACATTTACACTAGCATACATATAGCTATATATATTGTATATATAATTTTTCTTTTCTTTCTCTCCCCTTCTGTCACAGCTGAGGGAAGATCAATATTTCCTGATAAACAATCATGACAACTATTATCTCTAAACCTACCACTCTAGGAAGTAGGATCATGTTACAGAAATTGCACAATCAACAATTTAAATAACAATTATACATTAACTTACAAAGACAAATATAAAGCAATGAACTTTGCATTTTGTCAATTTTCCGTCACTTACGAGCCATTTCCGGACACCTTATAATCTTCCTGGCATTCAAATTCTCGTCCACTTCGGAGACGCACCATCTGTAGCTCAGGGTCAACTTAAACTTCACTCCTCCCTCTCCCGCCAACTCAAATGTCTCCACCTTCCCTTCCTCACCGACGCATCCGCTCACGATTTCCTTTCCGTATCGGAAGGGAACGCACTGCTCCACTGCAAGTCCAAAGGGGCGATGAGAAAGGAAAACGACTGATATACACACACGCGCTTGCACACACACACACACACTAAAAAAAACATGCATACATACTTAGGTAAACATATACATACTATATATATACGTACACATTTATATTTACATATGTATATAGGTACATGAATATGTATATTTATATATACTTACATATATATAGATATATCTGTATACACATACATAAATATGTGTATATATATGTATGAGTATGTGTGCATGGATGTCAGCATGGGTATATGTATGGGTATGGGTATGCATATGCATGTGTGTGTGTCAAAGAGAAAAAATGCATAACTTGGATTCTTATTCACTTACTTGGGCACTGTATAACTGATACGATATCCATATTCTTGTCTACTTCTGCGGCACACCATTTGCCTTTCACTGTCCAGCTGTCTGTCACTCCTCCTTCTCTCTCCACCTCAATTACCTCCCACTTCCCTTCCTCGCCGATGCATTCGCTCACAATTTCCCCTCCGTATCGGAAAGGAACACACAGTCCAGTCACTGCCTCACCGGTAGGCGTAGTCGCGGCGCCCATGGGTGGCACTTTAGGGGAGGAAACATCAGCTTTTGACAGATATGAAAATAATAAAAACATGAGCTGCCCAAGATGAACAATTACCTTGAAAATTATATTCTACGATAATTTTTGGATTTCTTGCTATGAGAATAAAACAGATACTCAAACATACATAATAACAATGTATATAAAGGCACATCTACACTAGCATACATATAGCTATATATATTGTATATATAATTTTTCTTTTCTTTCTCTCCCCTTCTGTCACAGCTGAGGGGAAGATCAATATTTCCTGATAAACAAACATGACAACTATTATCTCTAACCCTACCACTTTAGGAAGTAGGATCATGTAACAGAAATTGCATAATCAACAATTTAAATAACAATTATACATTAACTTATTAAGACATAAATATAAAGCAATGAACTTTGCATTTTGTCTATTTTCCGTCACTTACGAGCAAATTCCGGACACCTTATAATCTTCCTGGCATTCAAATTCTCGTCCACTTCGGAGACACACCATCTGTAGCTCAGGGTCAACTTAAACTTCACTCCTCCCTCTCCCGCCAACTCAAATGTCTCTACCTTCCCTTCCTCGCCAAGGCATCCGCTCACGATTTCCTTTCCGTAGCGGAAGGGAACGCACCCACTACTTTCTGAAGGTGGCTCTTCCGTTTCAGCTGAGGCTAGGAAAAGGATTTCATTTTATATTACATAGTGAAAAAAATAAATGTGTTTTTGTATTCAATATATTCCTTTTTACATCAAAATGACATGGGAATAATCTTCAAATTCAGTGATGTCGCGGGTGAAAGATCTAGAGACTACTGTAATGTATACAAGGGTTTACGTAATGCTTTCCTACCTTCATACTCATATGTACTAGTGGTCTCTAACGGTGATTCTGTTATGACTGAAAGGGTAAAACGCATTCTATTAAAAAAGGACAAACATATCTGAAACTGGCATTTTTCATACCTTTAAATCAAACTGAAAAATATCGAGAAGGTCGGATATGATCACGAACACAAGCGGTATCATCAAAGTTTTGAAAAAAAAAAAAAAATAAATAAATAAATAAGTAAATAAAATAAAATAACGAACAGCACTGTATGTTTCTTAATTCAAAATGCTATTATAAAGGCACATACACTTCTCTTATTTAACTTTATATGAAACCCACACATATATAGATATTATTTCCTTGTTTCCCTTTTTTTCCCTCTACCTCCTGCCACAACTGAGGGAGAAAAGACAAATATTTGTTGATATAACATAAAACATACACTCATTTATAAAATTACGTAATCAACAACACCTACAGATTCATAAATAATGCATGCATGAATGAATGAATGTATGCATATGTATGTTTATATCTATATCAAATATATATGAACACACACAATTCCATAAACATACATACGTATAAATACATATGAAAAATAATAGATATTTCACTTACGAGACATGGTCGGACAGGCTATAACTGACACTGCATTCAGATTCTCGTCTACCGCTGAAGCGCACCATCTCCCGCTCACTGTCTCCCTGTTTATCACTCCTCCTTCTCCCTCCATTTCGATTGTCTCCTCCATCCCTTCTTCACCAACACATCCACTCACGATTTCTCCATCGTGTCGGAAGGGAACACATGCTGTGGCGTTCACTGGTGGCTGTTCACTTGGAGCTGAGGGTAAGGTATACAAATTATTATCTAAACACAAAAGGACAAATGCTTAAATTCGGGTTAATATCTAACTCTTTTAAGCTTATAGCTTATAGGAAAACGATTTTCTAATACTGACATTTTTTATCAAATGCTATGGAATGCTTATCATAAAGTTTCATCAGAAAATATTCAAAGTATTATGAAATGACATTGACAACAAATATATATACACACATGAATATATATATATCAGCATACAGTACTGGGAGGTGAATTTATAGTATTCACAGGAAAGTGCATTTATGTCACTGATAGTACATGGTCAAAACCTCCAATGTCAACATTATTACACATAAGAGGTTTACATTCTCACCTGGGGATTCGCTGGAAGTTACTGAAGGTGGCAGTTCAATTACAGCTGAAAGGGAAAATATGATTTTTAAAAAGGATAAGTATCTATGAAGATATTCAGAAATGACAAAGACCTTCATTTTCCTCTCACGAAAAATGCACATACTCAAATAAATAGACATACATACGAGTATATATGCATATATATGTATATACTATATATATATACACATTTCTCTTATTCCTTTATTCATTTACTTATAGAAAATAAACAAGTGCATAAATAGATGTTTATATGTATATGTATAGGCCCATATACATATATATATATATATATATATATATATATATATATATATATATATATATATATATATATATATATGAAATCTCACTTACAAGGCATGGTTGGGCATGCTATAACTGACACTGCATTCAGATTCTCGTCTACCTCTGAGGCGCACCATCTGCCGCTCACTGTCTCCCTGTTTATCACTCCTCCTTCTCCCTCCATTTCGATTGTCTCCTCCATCCCTTCTTCGCCAACGCATCCGCTCACGATTTCTCCATCGTGTCGGAAGGGAACACATGCTGTGGCGTTCACTGGTGGCTGTTCACTTGGAGCTGGGGGTAAGGTATACAGTTCATTATCTAAACACAAAAGGATAAATGCTAAAATTCGTGTTCATATCTAACTCTTTTAAGCTTATAGCTTAGAGGAAAATGATTGTCTAATACTGGCATAATTTTATCAAATGCTATGGAATGTTTATCATAAAGTTTTATCAGAAAATGTTCAAAGTATTATGAAATGACATTGACAACAAATATATATACACACATGAACATAAATATATATAATAGCATACAGTACTGGGATGTGAATTTATAATATTCACAGGAAAGCGCATTTATGTCCGTATGTGTCGAGGAGTGTCACTGACAGTACATGGTTAAAACCACCAATGTCAACATGATCACACATAAGAGGTTCACATTCTCACCTGGGGATTCGCTGGAGGTTACTGAAGGTGGCAGTTCAATTACAGCTGAAAGGGAAAATATGATTTTTAAAAAGGATAAGTATCTATGAAGTATCAAGATATTCGGAATTAACAAAGACCTTCATTTTCTTTTCACGTACCAATGCACACACTCGTATAAATATACATACATACGAGTATATATGCATATATATGTATATACTATATATATATACACATTTCTCTTATTCCTTTATTCATTTACTTATAGATAATAAATACATGCACAACTTGATGTTTATATGTATGTACATGTATAGGCACATATACATATATATACATACATATATAAATATATATATATATATATATATATATATATATATATATATATATATATATATATATATATATATATATATATATATATATGAACTTCCACTTACGAGGCATGGTCGGGCAGGCTATAACTGACACTGCATTCAGATTCTCATCTACTGCTGAGGCGCACCATCTGCCGCTCACTGTCTCCCTGTTTATCACTCCTCCTTCTCCCTCTATTTCGATTGTCTCTCCACCCCTTCTTCTCCAACGCATCCGCTCACAATTTCTCCATTGTGTCGGAAGGGAACACATTCAGTGGCGTTCACTGGTGGCTGTACACTTAGAGCTGGGGGTAAGGTATACAGTTTATCATCTAAACACAAAAAGACAAATGCTATAATTCGTCTAATACTGGCATTTTTTTCAAATCCTATAGAATCCTTATCATTTAGTTTTATCAGAAAATCTTCAAAGTATTATGAAATGACATTGAGAACAAATATATATGTATATATACACATGAATATAATAAATATACACATATACAGGTCTATATATATATGTACAAACACAAACACGCAGTTTACATTATCATTATTCGAGACTATATCACTCCCATGTTCAAAATAATCTTCGTTTACTAAATCAAAATTCACAAACTTATTGTTCGCAGTCTATTCTGTTTACACATGTTTGTGTATACATAAAGCTATTGACACAAATGCATACAGTTTGCATTTATGTGAATATGCGCCTATGAGAACTGGGTTAAAAAAGGTTCACTGCCTCACCTGTGGGCGTAGTGGTGGCGCCCATGGGTGGCTCTTTGGGCAGAGCTGGGGAGGAAACATCCACTTTCGACAGATATCAGAATCATAATAAAAATAACATGAACTGCCAGGATGGACAGTTAACTTGAAAATTATATTCTACAACATTTTTTGGATTTTTTGCTATGAGAATAAAACAGATACTCTAACATACATAATAACGATGTATATAAAGGCACATCTACACTAGCATACATATAGCTATATATATTGTATATATATTTTTCTTTTCTTTCTCTCCCCTTCTGTCACAGCTGAGAGGAAGATCTATATTTCCTGATAAACAAACATGACAACTATTATCTCTAAACCTACCACTCTAGGAAGTAGGATCCTGTTACAGAAATTGCAAAATCAACAATTTAAATAACAATTATACATTAACTTATAGACATAAATATAAGCAATGAACTTTGCATTTTGTCAATTTTCCGTCACTTACGAGCAAATTCCGGACACCTTATAATCTTCATGACATTCAAATTCTCGTCCACTTCGGAGACGCACCACCTGTAGCTCAGGGTCAACTTAAACTTCCCTCCTCCTCTCCCACCAACTCAAATGTCTCCACCTTCCCTTCCTCGCCGACGCATCCGCTCACGATTTCCTTTCCGTATCGGAAGGGAACGCACTGATTCACTGCAAGTCCAAAGGGGCGATGAGAAGGGAAACGATTGATATACACACACGTGCTTGCACACACACAAAAAACATGCATACATACTTATGTAAATAGATACATATGTATACGTACACATTTATATTTACATATATATATGTACATAAATATGTATATATATACATATATATGTGCATAAATATGTATATGTATATACATATATATGTACATAAATATGTATATGTATATACACATATATACGTACTTATATATAGATATATCTGTATACACATGTACATAAATATGTGTATATATGTATGAGTATGTGCGCATGGATGTCAGCATGGGTATAGGTATAGGTATAGGTATCGGTATGGGTATGTATGTGTCAAAGAGAAAAATTGCGTAACTTGGATTCTAATTCACTTACTTGGGCACTGTATAATCGATAGAATATGCATATCCTTGTCTACTTCTGCGGCGCACCATTTGCCTTTCACTGTCCAAATGTCTGACACTCCTCCTTCTCTCTCCATCTTAATGATCTCCCACTTCCCTTCCTCGCCGACGCACTCGCTCTTGATTTCCCCTCCGTATCGGAAAGGAACACACTGCCCGGTCCGTGGAGCTGGTTGTTCGGTTGGAATTGAAGGTGGGAAAAGGATTTCATTTTCTAATGCATAGCAAAAAAAGGAAAGGTGTTTTCATATTCAATAAATTCCTTTTCACAATATCAAAAGGATATGCGAATAGCCTTCAAAAATCATATTTGCTTTGGCCTGATCTAGATTACGTGATGCTTGCCTACCTTCATATAATAGAGGTTTATATTTCATTTATTACGAAGGGCATCGTATTAAAAGAGTGCACAAAATATTTATGTGTCTTTTTAACCGTACATCAGAATGTATTCACTCAATATGGGTAAAATTTGAAGTCGAACATGACGGTCGCTGAAACATGGTACGGATTTTGAATGTATCCGAGTCTTATGACGTGGTATTAACTTCGATTGGATAAATGTTATTAAATCCATTATGTACCTCTATAATATTCCGCTAGACTGGAAATTATCAAACAAGGCTACCTTGATCTATTGATATATTACATGATGTATTATTCCGAGATTCAGACTCCATGTGAACTAGGAATTCACTCGCGGCGGATACAGTAAGATGCAAGACTTCAAGCAACATAAGAAGAACAGGATGTGATATGAAAAAGGAGACAATGCTTTGTCTCAATCTGAGAAATACAAATGGAAGTTTCCACAGCCTTGCCAAGTGAAAGATGGTGTGTATAAACAACAAAAGTTGGAGAATAGTCGGGTAATGTTTTCCATTTTAACTGAAGTTTCCAAGATGTTCTGTTTGTAACTGAAAAACTTATAAACGCATTAATTACCTTAATGTTTTCTATTGGCTCTATTCTGTGAAGCTAAGGAAAAATAACGATACTATATTTTGTAGCAACAACGCGTTTTTGGGGTTTCAGGATACTATTTATAGATATCTATATCTACATATATATATACATATATATAAATATGAATATATACTTACATATACATCTTCATCACTCCTATATTCAAAACAAACCGTTCTTTTACGAAATCGAATATTTGGTTGGGCAGTTTATAGTTCCTAAGATCCTTTTATTTTGTTTGCGGTCTTCTCTGTTTTCCTGATGGCTTATTTAAGAAGATATTGATACATATACATACAGACTTTCTATCTTCATGTGAATATGCACCTATGAGAAGTGGTTTCTCAAAAGGGTTCACTGCCTCACCTGTGGTCGTAATGGCGGAACCCATGGGTGGCACTTTTGGCTTATCTGGGGAGGAAACATCAGCTTTTGACAGATATCAAAATAAAAATAAGATCAACAACCTATCTAGAGTTAACTTGAAACTATATCCTACAATCATTTCTGGATTACAGTGGCATACACACATACACACAAATACATATAGTATAGATATAGATGTATATGTATGTATGTATGTATGTGTGTGTGTGTGTGTGTGTGTGTGTGTGTGTGTGTCTGTGTGTGTGTGTGTGTGTGTGTTTGTGCAGCTGAGGGGAGATGAATATATCCTTATATAACATGCATGACAATTGTTTTCTCTGACCCTGTCATTTTGGGAAGTTGGGTCCTGTTCCAGAAATCACATAACTTTAATAACAATTATACCAAAGAGAACAAGACACAAATATGAGGTCAAATGTCCGTCACTTACGAGGAATAACCGGACAGTTTATAATCCTCTTGATATTCAGATTCTTGTCCACCTCGGAGGCGCACCATCTGCCGATCGCCTTCCAACTGTAGATCTCTCCTCTTTCTCCCTCCGTCTCAATGATCTCTTCCTTCCCATCCTCGCCTGCGCAGCCTCTTACGATTTCATCTTGTATCGGAAGGGAACGCACACTTCGCCTGCAAATCCAAGATGGGCGATGGGTAAGCACGCACATACTTGATATATATATATATATTATATATATATTAATATATTATATATATATATATATGTATGTATATATGTATATATGTATATATATATATGCAAATATATATACATATTTAATCGTATGCATACATATGTATGTATATAAATATATATACATACATATATAAATGCGTCTGTATATATTTATATATGTGTATGTGATACATGTATATGTATTCATTCGTATATATACATATATACGTATATGCATATGTATATGTATGTGCATATGTATATGTATGTGCATATGTATATGCATATGTATGCATCTTTTTATCTATCTATCTGTATTTATCTATATGTAAAAATGTGTATGTATATATACATACATATACTGACATAAACATACATATACATGTGTATATATAGTTGTGTGTGTGCGTGTGTTCAAGTATGTGTACATCATATGGAAAAAAATGTGCATAACTTGGATTCGAATTCACTTACCAGGGGCGGTTGTGCAGGTTGTAATTGATGCGATATTCTGATTCTCGTCTACTTCTGTGGCGCACCATTTGCCCTTCACTGTCCACCCTCTCATCACTCCTCCTTCTCCCACTACCTCAATTATGGCCCACTTCCCTTCTTCGCCAACACATCCACTCACGATTTCTCCATAGTATCGGAAGGGAACACATGCCGTGGCGTTCACTAGTGGCTGTTCACTTGGAGCTGAGGGTAAGGTATACAGTTCATTATCTAAAAACAGAAGGACTAATGCTAAAATTCGTGTTCATATCTAACTCTTTTAAGCTTATATATCAGCATACAGTACTGGGATGTGAATTTATAGTATTCACAGGTAAGTGCATTTATGTCCGTATGTGTCGATGAGCGTCACTGACAGTACATGGTCAAAACCACGAATGTCAATATGATTACACATAAGAGGTTCACATTCTCACCTGGGGATTCGCTGGAGGTTACTGAAGGGGGCAGTTCAATTACAGCTGAAAGGGAATATATGATTTTTAAAAAGGATAAGTATGAAATATCAAGATATTCGGAAATAGACCTTCATTTTATTCTCACGTACCAATGCACACACTCAAATAAATATACATACATACGAGTATATATACATATATATATATGTATATACTATATATATATATATATATATATATATATATATATATATATATATATATATATATATATATAGTATATACATATATATATATATATATATGTATATAATATATATATATATATATATATATATATATATATATATATATATATTATATATATATATATAATTCTCTTATTCCTTTATTTATTTACTTATAGATAATATATACACGCATAATTGATGTTTATATGTATGTATATGTATAGGCACATATATATATATATATATATATATATATATATATATATATATATATATATATATATATATGAAATTCCACTTACGAGGCATGGTCGGGCAGGCTATAACTTTCACTACATTCAGATTCTCGTCTACCTCTGAGGCGCACCATCTGCCGCTCACTGTCTCCCTGTTTATCACTCCTCCTTCTCCCTCCATTTCGATTGTCTCCTCCACCCCTTCTTCGCCAACGCATCCGCTCACGATTTCTCCATCGTGTCGGAAGGGAACACATGCCGTGGCGTTCACTAGTGGCTGTTCACTTGGAGCTGAGAGTAAGGTATACAGTTCATTATCTAAAAACAGAAGGACGAATGCTAAAATTCGTGTTCATATCTAACTCTTTTAAGCTTATATATCAGCATACAGTACTGGGATGTGAATTTATAGTATTCACAGGTACGTGCATTTATGTCCGTATGTGTCGATGAGTGCCACTGACAGTACATGGTCAAAACCTCCAATGTCAACATGATTACACTTAAGAGGTTCACATTCTCACCTGGGGATTCGCTGGAAGTTACCGAAGGGGGCAGTTCAATTACAGCTGAAAGGGAACATATGATTTTTAAAAAGGATAAGTATGAAATATCAAGATATTCGGAAATGACAAAGACCTTCATTTTATTCTCACGTACCAATGCACACACTCAAATAAATATACATACATACGAGTATATATACATATATATATATGTATATACTATATATATATATATATACATATATATATATGTATATACTATATATATATATATATATATATATATGTATATACTATATATATATATATATATATATATATATATATATACATTTCTCTTATTCTTTTATTCATTTACTTATAGATAATATATACACGCATAACTTGATGTTTATATGTATGTATATGTATAGGCACATATATTTATAGATATTATATATTATATATATATATTATATATATATATATATATATATATATATGAAATTTCACTTACGAGGCATGGTCGGGCAGGCTATAACTTTCACTACATTCAGATTCTCGTCTACCTCTGAGGCGCACCATCTGCCGCTCACTGTCTCCCTGTTTATCACTCCTCCTTCTCCCTCCATTTCGATTGTCTCCTCCACCCCTTCTTCGCCAACACATCCACTCACGATTTCTCCATCGTGTCGGAAGGGAACACATGCCGTGGCGTTCACTTGTGGCTGTTCACTTGGAGCTGAGGGTAAGGTATACAGTTCATTATCTAAAAACAGAAGGACGAATGCTAAAATTCGTGTTCATATCTCTTTTAAGCTTATATATCAGCATACAGTACTGGGATGTGAATTTATAGTATTCACAGGTACGTGTTTGCGGTCTTCTCTGTTTTCATGATGGCTTATTTAAGAAGATATTGATACATATACATACAGACTTTCTATCTTCATGTGAATATGCACCTATGAGAAGTGGTTTCTCAAAAGGGTTCACTGCCTCACCTGTGGTCGTAATGGCGGAACCCATGGGTGGCACTTTTGGCTTATCTGGGGACGAAACATCAGCTTTTGACAGATATCAAAATAAAAATAAGATCAACAACCTATCTAGAGTTAACTTGAAAACGATATCCTACAATCATTTATGGATTACAGTGGCATACACACATACACACAAGTACATATAGTATAGATGTATATGTGTGTGTGTGTGTGTGTGTGTGTGTGTGTGTGTGTGTGTGTGTGTGTGTGTGTGTGTGTGTGTGTGTGTGTCTGTGTGTGTGTGTGTGTGTGTGTGTATGTGTGTGCGTGTGTGTGTGCAGCTGAGGGGGAGATGAATATATCCTTATATAACATGCATGACAATTGTTTTCTCTGACCCTGCCATTTTGGGAAGTTGGGTCCTGTTCCAGAAATCACATAACTTTAATAACAATTATACCAAAGAGAACAAGACACAAATATGAGGTCAAATGTCCGTCACTTACGAGGAAACCGGACAGTTTATAATCCTCTTGATATTCAGATTCTTGTCCACCTCGGAGGCGCACCATCTGCCGATCGCCTTCCAACTGTAGATCTCTCCTCTTTCTCCCTCCGTCTCAATGATCTCTTCCTTCCCATCCTCGCCTGCGCAGCCTCTTACGATTTCATCTTTGTATCGGAAGGGAACGCACACTTCGCCTGCAAATCCAAGATGGGTGATGGGTAAGCACGCACATACTTTATATATTTATTATATATATATATATATATATATATATATATATATATATATATATATATGTATATATGTATAGATATATATATATGCAAATATATATACATATTTAATCGTATGCATACATATGTATGTATATAAATATATATACATAAATATATAAATGCGTCTGTATATATTTATATATATGTGTATGTGATACATGTATATGTATTTATTCGTATATATACATATATATGTATATGCATATGTATATGTATATGCATATGTATATGCATATGTATGCATCTTTTTATCTATCTATCTGTATTTATCTATATGTAAAAATGTGTATATATATGTATATATACATACATATACTGACATAAATATACATATACATGTGTATATATAGTTGTGTGTGTGCGTGTGTTCAAGTATGTGTACATCATATGGAAAAAAATGTGCATAACTTGGATTCGAATTCACTTACCAGGGACGGTTGTGCAGGTTGTAATTGATGCGACATTCTGATTCTCGTCTACTTCTGTGGCGCACCATTTGCCCTTCACTGTCCACCCTCTCATCACTCCTCCTTCTCCCACTACCTCAATTATGGCCCACTTCCCTTCTTCGCCAACACATCCACTCACGATTTCTCCACCGTATCGGAAGGGAACACATGCCGTGGCGTTCACTAGTGGCTGTTCACTTGGAGCTGAGGGTAAGGTATATAGTTCATTATCTAAAAACAAAAGGACGAATGCTAAAATTGTGTTCATATCTAACTCTTTTAAGCTTATATATCAGCATACAGTACTGGGATGTGAATTTATAGTATTCACAGGTACGTGCATTTATGTCCGTATGTGTCGATGAGTGTCACTGACAGTACATGGTCAAAACCACGAATGTCAACATGATTACACATAAGAGGTTCACATTCTCACCTGGGGATTCGCTGGAAGTTACCGAAGGGGGCAGTTCAATTACAGCTGAAAGGGAATATATGATTTTTAAAAAGGATAAGTATGAAATATCAAGATATTCGGAAATAGACTTCATTTTATTTCACGTACCAATGCACACACTCAAATAAATATACATACATACGAGTATATATACATACATATATGTATATACTATATATATATATTATATATATATATATATATATATATATATATATATGATTAATATATATATATATTATATATATATATATAATTTCTCTTATTCCTTTATTTATTACTTATAGATAATATATACACGCATAACTTGATGTTTATATGTATGTATATGTATAGCACATATATATATATATTATATTAATATATATATTATATATATATATATATGAAATTCCACTTACGAGGCATGGTCGGGCAGGCTATAACTTTCACTACATTCAGATTCTCGTCTACCTCTGAGGCGCACCATCTGCCGCTCACTGTCCCCTGTTTATCACTCCTCCTTCTCCCTCCATTTCGATTGTCTCCTCCACCCCTTCTTCGCCAACACATCCACTCACGATTTCTCCATCGTGTCGGAAGGGAACACATGCCGTGGCGTTCACTAGTGGCTGTTTCACTTGGAGCTGAGAGTAAGGTATACAGTTCATTATCTAAAAACAGAAGGACGAATGCTAAAATTCGTGTTCATATCTAACTCTTTAATTATATATCAGCATTACAGTACTGGGATGTGAATTATAGTATTCACAGGTACGTGCATTTATGTCCGTATGTGTCGATGAGTGCCACTGAAGTACATGGTCAAAACCTCCAATGTCAACATGATTACACTTAGAGGTTCACATTCTCACCTGGGATTCGCTGGAAGTTACCGAAGGGGGCAGTTCAATTACAGCTGAAAGGGAACATATGATTTTTTAAAAAGGATAAGTATGAAATATCAAGATATTCGGAAATGACAAAGACCTTCATTTTATTTCACGTACCAATGCACACACTCAAATAAATATACATACATACGAGTATATATACATTATATATATGTATATACATATATATATATATATACATATATTAAATGTATATACTATATAATATATATATATTAATATATATATTATATATGATATACTATATTATATATATATATATATATATATATTATATATATATATACATTTCTCTTATTCTTTTATTCATTTACTTATAGATATATATTACACGCATAACTTGATGTTTATATGTATGTATATGTATAGGCACTATATTTTAGATATTATATTATATATATATATATATATATATATATTATATATATATATATATATATATATATGAAATTTCACTTACGAGGCATGGTCGGGCAGGCTATAACTTTCACTACATTCAGATTCTCGTCTACCTCTGAGGCGCACCATCTGCCGCTCACTGTCTCCCTGTTTATCACTCCTCCTTCTCCCTCCATTTCGATTGTCTCCTCCACCCCTTCTTCGCCAACACATCCACTCACGATTTCTCCATCGTGTCGGAAGGGAACACATGCCGTGGCGTTCACTTGTGGCTGTTCACTTGGAGCTGAGGGTAAGGTATACAGTTCATTATCTAAAAACAGAAGGACGAATGCTAAAATTCGTGTTCATATCTAACTCTTTTAAGCTTATATATCAGCATACAGTACTGGGATGTGAATTTATAGTATTCACAGGCACGTGTTTGCGGTCTTCTCTGTTTTCATGATGGCTTATTTAAGAAGATATTGATACATATACATACAGACTTTCTATCCTTCATGTGAATATGCACCTATGAGAAGTGGTTTCTCAAAAGGGTTCA